TTATTATCAAACTGACATTAAAATTATTTAAAATATTATAAGGGTATAAACAAACGTTAAGACGTAAAAGAACAATAATCATTGTTAATAAGATAAATTATGAAAATCCTTCTGAACTTAGGCTAAATTATAGAAAACACCTCCACTTATCGGTGATTATACCAAAACCCCCCTGATGTTTGTTTCTGTCTTACACGACCCCCTTATGGTGTGATTTTTTTACGGATTCTTTTTTATTCCATGCAATGTCTCAAAAATATGGAGTCTACCCTTGCAGACATGACATTTCTTTTATCGTACTTTTTAAACTAAAAAATTACCCTCAGGGTTGTCATGGTTATAATAAAAATTTGTGAAAGTGTTATTTAAGAAGAATAAAGATTTCGTGTAAAGTTCACATGAGGGTAATTTTTGTCTTTAAAAAGTACCATAAAGAAATGTCGTGTGTGCAGGGTATATATAATAAGCATTATTGGAATATTTCACGTAATAAAAAAATTCCTTGAAAAATCATACCGAAAGGGGGTCGGTGTAAGACGAAAACAAACATTAGGGGAATTATTAATATAAACTATTTACGGCAAGAGCACTTCGAGTGGGATTATTAAATGAGCTATCAAAACATTTAACCACCATTTTTATACTCCAAAATAGTAATTTTTAATTCTAATATAGTTATGAAATGAGGTATTTTGATATTTCATCTTTCAGAATGTAAAAATACATTATGCAATCATACACAATAAAATATCAAACATGAGGTATGAATTTAACCACCTCAGTGTCCATTTAGAAAATAACATGTGGCAATTAGATATATTTAATTAACAACTATTTAATATCTATGGTTGAAGCAAATACATTTAGATAAATATCAAAATAAAATATTAAATAGCACATAAATATTTGCAAACTCATTTTGATAATTTTGAGTTGGGGTAGATATTTACTTCATTATATTTATTAGAGTTATAATGAAATAGTTATTAGTGGAATACAATATATAGTATATACTATCATTATTTTAAACAAAACAATTGATATTCTTAATGTTAGCCATTAAATAAAGTGGATAAACGAATTTAATTCCAAATATTTAGAATTATTATATTTTGAAATATATAAAATCAATTCGATTTTTTTATGAATTGATTATACTTAACTTAGGTTATTCAATTTATTAGTATAATCATGATAAAATTTGTATTTTAATTAGTATATAATTTAAAAAGTTAAATCAATCGTAAAATTTATTGTCACTGGATTCAGTAAAGAAAAAATAATTATTTAAATAATAACATGAAATTCATGTAGTATAATTTTCAATATGATAAATAATTGGGAGTACATTACTCTACACATGGCATAACAAATAGTGTCAATTTTCGCAAGATAGTAAATTCAAACATGTATCTTTCTTTTTTACAGATAATATTAATATATAATATTAAATTAGTAAAAAAATACATATTCTCTAGTCATGTTCATGTAAAATGTATAATATCAAATAATTTATTCTGCAATATGTTTTTTTAATATAAATCCAATTTTATGAATTAAAATTAAATAAAATCGTAACACCACCAATCATGCAATTATAATAAGGGAAGATTTTAAATCGAATTTAACTAAATTCAAATTAAATTAGTTATAAAATTAAATTCAAAAATAAATTTATGTAGGGTTTTCAAGAAAAGGTGATATATTTGGAGCACTTTATAAATAGTAGGATATAAATAGATTAATAAAATAATTAAATATATTTAATTACCTTTAATTTTGGAAAATAATGACATGTTTTTTGATGATTTATTTCCACCAATCAATTTGCCACATGAGATGAAATTGAGGACATGTCATCAATTAAAAGTGCCAAATGTCAATCAATTAGCTATGGAATTCAACTTTTATATATTATATAGATTTTTTCCTTTAATGATAAAAAAAAATGTGCTATGATATATAAGATAAACTTTGCATTTTTAGAAAAAAATAGGGGACCCCCAAGTAATATCTTGTATCATTTATATGTATATATTAGTCATAGCATCAAATAATGTTTAAAATTTATAAATAGTTCAAAATTTTGATATTACATAGTTTAAGTATTTGTTGGAATTTTTTATACTTATTATTGTATTTGATGTGAATGAAATGTCTTAGATCAATTATAATTACTTCGATATTGAACTTTTGATCAATTTCTTTTATCTATTTCAAGATTTTAAACTTTTTATCCAATAATCTTTATATTTTTTTAATAATTTACATTGCCTAACTCTAACTTCAAAGAGTTTCGACAAGTTGAAATATACTATATTTTATTTTACTAAATTTAAACAAATGTTACATATACTTACATGTTCAATAATATTTCTATAACAATTTTCAAGAAAAAAACAAAAAAAACTTCAGGGTTCTGCCAAGAACCCCGTAAATTTTTTATATATCTTAACTTCGTCAATATTTTAGTCATATTTGCTTTTCAAATTTCGTAACTCCTAATCAAAATATTACTGTTCAGTCGTGCTCGTTAGAATGAGTTAACGTGTAAATTATACAATATAATACAAATATGAGCCAATTTCTCAGGAACGACCATGCATGTACCAAGTTTCACTCTCTACCAAATCTTTAGGTCTTCTTTCTCTCTTCAGAATTATTCTAATACCATGAAAACAAGTAATCTTATATATAAAAGAAAGAAACGTTGGGCAAACCCTAATAAACCCTAATGGCATTCCTGTAATTATTTATTTCTAATATTTTTTATGTGCTATTGTACCTATACTTTTCAATAAATCAAAATTGACACTCAACCATGAAGATTTCTTCTAGCTTCAATCTTCTATATTTTATGAATATATCTCAAAAGTCAAATCTTAAGAGATAAATATAGAAATTCGATTTGTTAAATCTTAATCTATTTGTTTGGATTATAAAATTTACTACGTAAAAAAAACTAATGTTATATAAAATATGATAGTACTATTTTCTTAAATTTTACTATATTAGTGTATTATATATATATTTTTTTTTAATGTATTAAATCGATCATTTTATTTATTATATATAAAATACGATCCCGTGCATCGCACGTGCATCGCACGTGCATCGCACGTGCATCGCACGGGGAAAAATGCTAGTTATTCTTTATTTAACAAGAAAATTAACCTACTAAAAAATACCCTAGCTACTTTGGGTAACTTCTCATAAAAGAAAATCTATCTTATACTTTTTTTTTCTTAGCCTTTCTTTCTGATCTTTTAAATTAAGTAATTGTTCTTCCTTATCTCTATGTAGTGACATCGTTCATTCTCTTACCACTACTAAGAATCACTACTTAGATACACGTAACTGACACTGCAAAAACCACTAAATGCATTATCTGCATGCATGCATATTTAACGTAACCATGCATATTTGACTTTTACATGCATGCATGCATGCATATGTATATGTATATATTTATATATATGAGCCAACCAGTATTAACTCACTCATTCTTTCTGTGCAATTGAGAAGATGTCTTCTAATTCTTCTTCGAATTATTTCCCAAATTACGATCATCTTGTC